GCCTCCGTGATTTTGTTTTGCTCTGTGGGAGCCCACTCATTACCCTCTGTACCCTAAGCCCAAGCCCGGCCGGTGGCACTTTCGATTGGCAGATGACTGCGATGGGCAGGCTTGGGAAGGCAGTGGGCAGCTGGGTAGGAGCCAGGTTGGGTGCTCTCATGATTAGGGAGGAGAGGAAAGAAGCACTCCAAATGACATCAAGGACAGGGTCCTGCTGGTGGGGGTGGGGGTGCGAGGTGAGCCGGGAGGGAGGGAGGGCACGGGAAGTGCAAACCAGTGGAGAGGCCCCGAATTTCCTGTCACCCTCCTCCCCTTCACTGCCAGCTCCACCTTCTCATCCAGCGAGCGTGGGGCTGTCAGTCGTGTGGAGGTGTTAGGAGAAGTACCAATAAAAACATTTGCAACTCATAGGGAACACCAACATACATGGTTTATTTTCTATGTATGGGAATATTACTTAGGAAACAATGAAATAATACATTGTCTTTGAGTAGTGTGAACGTTTAGAGGATGCGATTTTTCCTCTAAATAAGCAAGAGAGTAGCCTTACAGTAGTAAATAAACAAAGACCGAGATTTGGGGGGATACCAGAAACTTTCACCGGTCTGGAGGGCATTCTCCTAAGCCACGCTTTTTCAGCTGGTCTTCGATCCTGCGTTGTACGGTCCCCGGTGTGTGGTGCCTCCTCGTGTCTTCAGCATTGCACACTGTCTCTGGTCCACTGTCTTTCTGACTTTTCCATCTCCCTTTTCTACTGTGACTTGCTAAGGTGAGGGAATTTTTGTTTTAGGGCCACTGTGAATTTTACTAGGAAGAGGAATCTTTGCCATAGCGGTGTGAACCTTTAAATATAGGATTTTAAATAATGTTCACGGCATCTGATCTTATAAAAAAAAAGGTGAATTAAATTTTAAAAAACACCTTTTATTATGAATTGGGTGAAGGTTTATAGTTTTACAATCAACACTTGATAAATGTTTTCCCCATAAACACTTTTCTTAATCTCATTCCTTGCAATCCCTCCAGGTGACACCTCTCATCCTACCTGATCCCTGCCAACCCCATGTTTCCTGCCTCCACGCCTCCTCTCCTAACCCTTATGAACTTTTCCTTGGGAAAAGGCTGCCCATGGATCTCACGTGGTTAATTATTCCAAATTATTTGTATCTCATTAGTGTTATTATTTCCCTTATAGGCTTAGCTGGTGCTTAGCTGAAAATGAAATCGTTGGGTAAGCTCAGTTTCAGATGTGAAGGGTGGATAAGGGCTATGTCTCGGGGGTTCTACTAGTCTAATTGACCAGTAAGACTGGTCTTTTTTGTGCTTAGTAGTTTTATTCCACCCTTTTCTCTCACTCTACCCAGCACCTTCTAGTGCTATTTAGATCAGAGCAGTCAGCAGTGGTAACCTATGAGCAAAATATTGGACAAGCAGGAACTATCAAAAGAAGATAAAAGAGAAGCACATTACTGTACCAAAAATAATTGATTGGCATTTAGTTATTTGAGGAGGTAGTATAGGATCAAGAACTAATGGTGTCGAAGGAAGAAGTCCAACCTGCACTGAAGGCATTGGCTAAAAATGAAAAGACCAAATCAAACTCATTGCCATTGAGTCAGTCCTGACTCAGTGACCTTATAGGTCAGGGAAGACCTGCCCTTGTGGGTTTCTAAGTATGTAATTCTTCACAGGAGTAGAAAACTGTATCTTTCTCATGCCATGACACAAGGCCCCAACAATTGACAGACACCA